GGCACCGAACTGGCTCCTCTAATAATACCAGACGCCAGCCTCGAGTATTTGTTTTTCAGAGTTTATATCTTACCTCCCTTCTGCCTCGTTTTCCTTTTACAGACCTTCTTTCTTCCATTCTTTCTTCTACAAGTTGTATATATTCTATATAACCTCTTTCTCTGGTTCTCCCTTTGTTCTTCTCCTTCACACCTTAATTTGCTCTTCCCGCGATAGTACAGCGAGTCCCAGCAGAGCGTTCATTCTTACCTGGATTCTTCTTGGCTCCTTCTTGCACTTGGATTCGCTCTAGCTCAGCCAGGCAGGGAGGCTCTGTGGATGAAAAACAATCAGTGCCTTTAGGGAAGAGCCAGCGCTAATCTCCTCCAGACAAACGCTTCACAAGAGCTCCCCCACCAACTCCCAGATGAGGCGGCATTACACCAGGGCTGCTCTCCGTGCAGCCGCACAATCAAATCACACTATCACACCCAAACACAGCCACATTTTAAAAGTGGCACAATAGATAGTTCTAATCTCTAGTTTTACAGCAATACAATTCATGAAAGAAAGACTAAATTAAATTTTGAGTTATAGAACTTGCTTTAAATAGGTTTTGAACAAAATTAACACCTGTTATAGAATATTTCTATATTGCAATTTTCTCTTTAATGCCCTGAGGTGAAATGTACAACCTTCTTATAATACATTAGAGGAATATTCTTCTCAAAAATGAAAATTCTGTAATCATTTACTCACCCTCAAGTCATTAAAAACCAAAATGACTTTCTTCTGAGGAACACAAAATAAGTTATTTAGCATAATGTCCAAGCTGCTCTTTTCAATTCATTGAAAGTAAATGGTGACCACCGCTACTGAGGAGGAACCAATATGCCCAATAATTAGAATATTTCTCTTTTTAAAAAAGGTATCCTCTTTAGATATAGAGATTCTTTCAGAGCAGATCACTCTACAGAGCTACTTATTTTTCTGTATTCACAATACATGAAAACATTAATACTGACATTTTCTAACCTAATTACACTATAGTCTTTTAAAAATAAAATTGTGAATACTGGAATATAAAATGATATTTTTATATTATAATATGAAACTAAAACTGCCAGTAGGTGGCAAGTCCCTGTCTTAATGAGTAAATAATTCATTCTATTTATTTATTTATTTATTTATTTAGCTGCTTATTCATTCAAAAACCAAGCAAGTGACTTTATGACTCAATGAGTTACTGAATCATTCACTCAAACAATTTGTTCAAAACCGCAAATTCACACAACACTTCTTTTTTAGCTTGGGTGGAAGTATTTTTACATGACTCAGTGAATGTGTGGACTGTTTTTGTTTGGTTTCTGAAACATACTAAATGTCAGCTAACACAGTGTTAAAACAACAAATACAACATTACTTCAAATGACACATACCACACACCACTGCTATCAAGCAAGATTTGATATCACACAAAGATATTATACGAGTATGAATCCAGAAGACTTCGAAAGTAGCATACAAATCGTAAGGACCACTTTAATAGTCCTTTTTGACGCTTATCAGCCCTAGTCCCCATTTACTTCCATTACAAGGAAAAGAGCAGCCTGGACATTCTCTTCTTTTGTATTCCACATAGGAAAGAGAGTAATACAGGTTCGGGAATGACATGAAGGTTAGTAAATGATGACAGAATGTTTCCTTTAATAAATAAATCAGTGCAGCACATACTGGAATATTCGCCAATGCTTCAACACTATCACTATGTGAGGCCCGGACAGGTCAAGTCTAAAAAAATGCAGTGGGTTTCTGTCTGACTGGTTTTAGTCTCAGAGAGTTTGAGGCTGAACAGGCTGTCAACAACCAACACTGATGTTGTTTTTCCCTCTGCAATGGCCATTTCCTATCCACCGGGGGAAATACAAGGGGAAGACAAAGTGTGACAGGCCAAAAGCAACTGTGCCCTACCCAGGAGAAATGAGAGTGCCCAGCCACATATCGTGAGCAGAATCACATCAAACAAGAGCCAGGCTGGTCTAGTGTGTGTGTGTGTGTGTTAAGATACTGCTAAGATACAGCTCAGTGCCCCTCCAGTGCAATGCACAGTGGAGCATATGTCTGTTTGTGTCAAGAAACTTGCCATGCTCCATGGTTTAAGTAAACACACACACACTCAAAAAGAATTCCTCAAACAAAAGATCACATTTACGAGTCTCATTAATATGTAGAGCATGTTGCGATAAACACATGCACATGCAAACAGACCTACGCTCTCCCCCGCTGACACACACACACACTGACTGTCAGTCACCCTAGCAACACACACTGAATAGCAATTCCTCCAGACTTATGCATCTCGTCAAAATGAATACTGTAAATCACTCTCTCCACATGCCACAAACAGCTAAAGGTCAATTTATGCCTTCTCCAGCTCTCCCATCTCTCATTTTCTATCCAACGGGGGTGTTTGTAGAGAAAATGAAAGATTTGGATTACAATAATCCAAACATACGGTTCCCCTCCCCCTTTAATGTTTGATTATATTTAGAAAACCAATTAAACTTAATCCAGTGCAAACTGAATGAGTTAGTGGCATGAGTCTGCAGAACTCTCAGCACACAGATGGATTTTTCTAAAGCCCTGCCTCCACCGACTGGTGCCTTCTTTATCTTTAATGCCAGTCCAGTGCGTGCTGATGTAAAATAAATGCGCTCTGCGACCAACCTTTGCATGCAATATTGTCTTCTAGGCTTTTGTAATGGAAACCAAATATGCCCCTCAAATCCAATTCAAACATCATTTCAGATTTGAAAGCCCTAACTCGCTGAAGCAGTGCTCAACATGCTCAAACACAGACTAGTGCTGGCACTGATGTTCGGCCATGTGTCCCCCTTCTGTCACACTGTTATAACCAAGCAGAGCAAACTGTGGACCGTGGCATTGACCAGCAAGGTGCAGGGCACAAATGTGCAATGCTGAGGCAACGATCCCAGTTAGAGCTGATTTCAAATCTGAAGTGTGTAATGTTTCAATGTCAAAACAGTGTTACTTTTTTTGAGTCTTTGCCTTTGGATGAAAATATTTTACTAAAATGCCATCTTATTTTAGTCAGAGTTGACACTATTGATTAGGAATGAAACTTTATTCTTTTTTTTTTAATATATGTATTGCATTGATAATATTTTATTTGTTCATGTAATGAAAAAAATATTTTTTTTGTCAACAGTATGTTTTAATTAAATTTGGTTAATTATCATGATACACTACTGTTCAAAAGTTTGGGGTCAGCAAGATTTTAAGAAAGTAATTTTTTCTGCAAGGACACATTTAATTGATCAAATGTCACAGTAGAGGATTGATAATGCTATATAAACTATGTATCTATTGTCTCTATTAAAATATTTTTCAGCTTTTTTCAGCACAACATTGATAATAATAATAATAAATGTATCGTGAGCACCAAATCATCATATCAGAATGATTTCTGAAGGATCATGTGACACTGAAGACTGGAGTAATAATGCTGCACATTCAGCTTTGCCATCACAGAAATAAATAAATTTTAAAATATATTCAAACAGAAAACAGTGATTTTAAATTATAACAATATTTCACAACATTACTGTTTTTCTGTATTTTTCATAAGAGGCTTCGGTCATAATATAATTCAGTTATAAGTACTAATAAACAGCCAATATGTTAATAACAGGCATGCTAATAAACAACTAGTTAATAGAGAGAATTGGTCCCTAAGTGTTACCGAGGCTTCTTTTCAAAAATGTAAAAATATTGCAGATCCCAAATATTTCAATGGTAGTGTACTAAATATTTGGAAAGTATATAGAATATTTCATTATATTATTATAAAAACCATTAAGACCTGGTTTAATTGTGTAAAGATACTAAAAACTCACTTTCTCTCCAAAAGCAGAGGCACCACTCGGCTGTGGAGACTTTTCCATCATGGTAGGAGTCACAGGAGTTGAAGAAGGGCCGTATGCACACTTCATACTTGTCCAGATTAATGGCAGACAGCTCAGCTTGATCCAGATACAGGTCACTGTTCGTGTCCAGCTTAGAGAACATCCAGCCAATAGAGTCCTTACAGGTCGCAACAAGAGTTCGGTCCACAACTGTGCACAAACAATCACACGGTACATGTTAACACAAGAGAAATGCTAGCTTATATACTGTAATACTTCTGCATTTTTGAACTTTTTAAACTGGTTTCTAAAAGCCATCTCTCCCAGAACCACTGACTGCATCATATTAGCTGTAAAATTTTTATCAATGTCCTTTTAAAAGCAAAATTGCTGTTCAAATGTTGCTGATAAGACAGTAAATTGCTCTGATGGACTGAAGCTGTTTTTTAGACCATTTTATATATATATTAGAAGCAAACAATATAAATGTAACAAACAAAAAAGGCAGAGCTAGTTAGAGAACTGATGAGGCATTAAATGCCATTAAATGTACATTTTATATTGAAGTAGATGTAAATGGAGTGCTTAAGCATTCAGTTGCATTTCACAATTCAGCAAAACTGCTTTTTGAGTGGATAAAATGCTGCTGGTGCTCTTTGGCCATCAGGATAGGACACAATTCAAACATAATAGCTGTGAATCTGCTGGTCCTTATCAATAGTTGTACACAGCAGTTTTGATAGTGCAAATTATCATAGGTCCATTTTTTAAATACTAAAAAGAAAACAGCATTTGTGACATTTCCTGAAATTATACAACCAAAATAAATGAGGCTAGAGTCATTGTAATCTGCTGTAATTTCTGAATATAAAAGCACTGGCTAAATAGATGTTAGAGTCTCACTTGATGCAGAACTGGCTACAGGATTCCCCGTGCTGTTCTG